GATTTTGGGTTTTCATTCCTTCATTGCTGCACCATTCTCTCTACCCTCCTCCCCAGTTTGTTCTTCTTCCCCGCCATCCGAATGTCTGTTTTAATTGTCCAATTGCCACAGTGCTTGTCTGCCCCTCTTTTCTTGTTGGGTACCATTGATTCAGATAGAACTGGTACAGGAAGAGAAAGCCCCTCCTTCTCTAGCAGGGCATCGGGTGGATTCGAACAACATGCCTTCAGGATTGCAACACAGCTTCTTGGTACTAGGCAACTAGAGCTGTATTTACTCTTCCTAATATTTTTTCTGAAAGTTAGAAGGTCACAAGTCTTTGCAATTACTTGCTATGCATAAGAAAGCTGGACAATGACTAGAGATAATAGAAGAATTGATGCCTTTGAGCTGTGGCACTGGAGAAGTGTACTGTATATACCATGGACTGCTAGGAGAACAAACAGATTCATCCTAGAGAGGGTGAAACCAGGCTGCTCCTTGGAGGCAAGGATTCTGAAGCTCCATCTGACCTACTTTGGGCATGTTGCAAGGAGGGACCAGTCTTTAGAGAGAATGTCATGTTTGGGAGGGTGGAGGGACAGTGCAAGAGAGAAAGACCCTCGATGAGAAGGATTAACTTAGTGACTGGGGTAGTTCAGGTAGGTGTGTTGGAGACAATAAATATGACTTGGGACAGGCCAGAGTTCAGAGCTGTCGCACATAGGGTCAACTCGATGGCACATAACAACATTAAATCAGTATTTTAAAGCTTCTCTGAACCATTTTATACCAAACTATAGCATTTTGATGAAAACTAGGAGAATAGTGCCTAATCAATGTAAGAAAAAAAATTACTATCAGAAAGTGACACTAAAAATCAAGGTCAATGAAAATGGGCTGAGAATCAGTGCTTTGTGGTGAAAAATCTGCTTTGAAATACATGAAGAAATGTGGTTTCCTTGAAAGTTAAAACGGAAAGTAAAGTTATGGTCCGAAAATTAGCAAAGGCAAGAAGGCCATTAAGATGTACACTACTGAGGGCCATGTGGTTGAAGACCTGCTCAGAAATATGTTAAGAGAATATTGTTTTTTAAAGAATTAAACCGGTATCTCAGTCACAAAGGGACAAAGCTATATGGTGCCACTGCTGTAGAATGAGGCTGGCATTGGGGTGGGGGTAAGACTGAGAAAAACTGGATGAAATATGTTTA